ATTGGTATATTCTTCTTTCCCATAAACATTTTACATTCTCTAACTAATGGCGGTTATACTTACCTATACGTTGAATTAAAGTGTGTCGGTGGAACAGCGGTAGAATGTTCGCCAACAACGCAGGTGGTTTGGGGTTCGATCGTCAGCTAACGCACTGCTTTACCTCTGAAAAAAGACTAGTGAAAATGGAAGGTTGGTCGTGAGGCTATTAAACTCATCCATAGAATTGAACACCATTGCTACCGGAATTTTAAGCCTTCAGCTTGAAGCCCTATTTTCTACTGAATCAATCAGTAGGTTCCTTTAAATATTTCAAAAACGATACTGAATTTCGTCAGTACAGCGTGTTAAAAACTGGTAATTTAGTCTTTTTATTTAACGTTAATAATTCTTTGAAGATATGTCGTAATATCTGTCTCCAAGGTATGGGTCTTCAAAACGCATTGATGAATTTGGAAGTTTAATGAATAACAAGATTGTCTGTTTTCACTTAACATTTAAAAGACTGATTTCCGCTGTTACTAATATTAATATCCATTTGAGGACCAAGTGGAACTTGAAGCTTCATGAACACATCTTAATTTCACTAAGCCTTCTTCAGTCTTTCAAAGCCGCTTCCATGAATGCCAATTCAGTCGAGGCACGTTACGTTTAGAAGCCAAGATCATTCCCCATTCAGTCTCTCAGACCTGGATTTAGTGGTCAGCAGATTCTAACATCTGTTAGTTCATGATATAGAGCTTTCAATAAGCACCTAGTCCATCTTTACATGATAAACGACTTCAAAGAATTGCTTCAGGCTGGAGATGAATATTTAGATCTTGAATTCACACGGAATCTTCAAGGTATGTTGATTCATGATGAAATCGACGTTTAAATTATTTTTTTTCACTTTTTATTCTGGCCTGATAACTTTCTAGCAATGATGGCACAAATAAGGAACATATTGATTTAACTTTTCATATCTGTGGAAGAGCAGATAATTCAGTTATAGACACATTATCGACAAAAATAAAGTATACAATTTCACAACTTATCGAAGCAATAAAGTAGAAAAATAAACCTTCCTTTTTAATGAATTCCTTCCCAATTTAATTTGATTATTACAATTTATTACAACAGGGGACGCATTTATTTTTTAAAATGTCATGAAAAAGTGAATCTATAGAATACTATTTGCAACGTCTGCTTCTGTTTCAAGGGTGAAGTAAAGTACTCAGTCTATTCAAGTTATAGCGATAAAATGTAGAAAAAGACTTTTTTCCAAAATGTCTAACATAATGCGGTCTCATTTTGTCATTGTCTTTGTCTAATGAAATTATTGTTTTATTCAAAACAATCACAATCTGACTCTTCTAACCGTATTCATAAATAACTATGTGATCATAATATTCTCAAATTGGAGAATATTTTTGAAAGCATTTAACTGAATGAACTGAAAGTATGTTCGTTACCAGAGCGAGATTTGAAGCAAGATAAGAACTATGTATACTGCAATTTCAATTGAATAAAGCAAGCAAATGCAATTATTGATATGAGTATCAAACTTGGCCACTGTAAAAGTGTAAAACTCCATTATGGATAAGATTTTATTTTGACATGTCACACAGTGTTATACAGTAATACTAACTGATGAACACCTTTCGAGCACAAACGACTGTTTATTTTCATATGAAGTCACTCACACTACTGTTTTGCTTCATTTATATACATGAGCGTAAACTAATTAGACATTTTGAATAAAAATTAAACAATATAGGATAATGTTTATTCAGAAATAATAATAACATGAGTGTTACCAATCAAGTACAGTCAGATAGGAAATCACATGTTTACATGGTAAAATAAATAAATAATTTAATAGAATCATTATAAATTATTTAAATTAATATCAGCGTGTCTAAGAAAATCAAAACTAAATTTTCGCTGTGTAAGCCACAGCTTCTTCAGCATATTTCTTCCAGGAAGTTCGTAACGTGTTAAAAATCCTTTGATGTACATGAACTCAAATAGAATTTCAAGATTATATATTATCCTCTTCTGATTTGATTGACTGGTGGTAATAATATCTTTCATGCATATTTCTGATATTTGCATTGAGTCATTTCTGTTGCATGTGTTGGGTGTAGACTCAATGAACCAGGAGTCACTAATCAACCATTCTTACCTTAGCTAAATCTCTATGTTCCGACAGTCTGACTACCCCAAACCTACTTGTTTGACCTATGTAGTTGACTTAACTCACAGTAATTGCAAGGTATTTTGCAAATTATTTTGTTAAATTGGGTCCACCGGGTGTTTTAGCCTACAGAGATTTTCTCTGAGTGAGTATGTAAGATTAAATGCCAGCCTAATTCCTGCTTTATTGAAAATCCTACGTATTGGCTTGTCCCAGATGTCCCCTCCTTATGCTCTACAACAGTGCCTAGTGAAAAGGTGTAAGCCTGAAAGAAGTGTCGCCGTGCAGGAAATGCATACTGTCATCATGAATTTTCAATTTGAAGTGTACTTAACAGTTTGATACAAGATGCAATTTCAGCTACCAGTAACTTGCAACTTACGAAGAGCAGAACATGTTAGCCCATTATATGTTTGTCGGCAAATTCAAAAATTAAGATCATGAGATTACCTATAAATATCGTTGTAAAGTACATATAATCAACCTTATTTCACTCTTTTATAACGTAAAGTACAGCAGCAACGCTTCCGATTACAGATCCAGGTAACCCAGATTCGGAATCCAAAAAGGAAATGAGTTTCTTAAAGTTTGCCGGAACGCCTTGTTGATAAAAATACCAACAAGTACGAAGCCTAGTTTGGAGACTTCCTGTTGACTGCCTTCAACCGTCAAATATAAGTTCACAAGGCGCCGCGATATTATGCCACCTAAATTAGTGATCACATTCTCCACTTGAGTGAGAGAATTCAGCTTGAAACATGGCAGTGGTTAATCCGTAGTCAATGCCATAAGGAATATTGTTTACAGTCACTAAGTAGGGTTGCTGCCGACTTTGTACTCACAAACTCAACTTCCTTAAAATGTATATTTTGTGCTTATTCATTAGCAAGTACTTTATATATTTTGAAAGTGAATAGAGGTATGAGATATACATGTATATACAAAAGAAGATTAAATAAGATCATTAAACATTTTTCCTTTTTCTTCGATGCATCAGATTATCAGAATGCTAAAAATAATTTTCTCTCCGTAATATAAACTCATAAAATGAAAATCACTTATCGGATATTCATATTTTGAAGTCACTGGAATTTATTTCACGATCTCTGCATTCAAGAAAGAAACTTTATGCATAATTATGTCATACCGGGTAAGTAAATTCATTGTTCCTGGTTGTGAATCACTATCTATTTATGCTGGTTGTCGTCTGTTGTTGTTGCTGTTGGTGTTGGCCAGGAATCTTCATCTCCTCTGTTTTATCTATGTTCACTTGAAGAAGGAACTACAGGTTAGGCATAATTCCGAGAGGACGACAGATCATGTTAAGAGGAAGAGAAGGCTCTTAGGTATAAATGATGCCTTTTGTTACAATTTTCAAGATTTTTAAGGATGATTTCATTCGGGGTATTCAGGTGAAATAACATATTAGTTGTGAAGCGGACTCATATATTCGTTTTTAAGTGATGTTTATGCATACATTTTTACTCATATCTCCTATGAGGTTGACATATTATAGTTGCTTATTTGACTGAACATACAGTGATACAGTAATGGTTTTATATTCCTAAGTTCTTCACACAAATACACATGTAAACTCAGCTATATAAGGCAATCAATTCATTTTCTGGTTCAGAAGTGAGAACGCTGAGTTAGGTATCCTTGACGACGTCTTAAAACGATTGCATGGTGCCTTGTTAGATACCAGCATGTATGGGAAAATGACACATTCTAATAAACAACTCGACGTTATTCATCTCAACCAGAAAAGCTAAGGGAAAGTTAAATGAAAAGTTTAATTAAACTGTGAGACCTACCATCCATTAAGAAATCCAACAGAAGAAAGTGGTAGGATGTGAATTAAATAGAATGTCAGTTTATAAACAGAATTAATTTAGTTTCAAATCCAGACAGAATAGCATTATAAATAAAGACCGTCAGAATCCCTGTGTGAGATTTCTAGAACGGTAAGAATTAGGGTGTTATATAAATCATCTGTTTTATTTTCAACGTGACTCAGATGTTCATTAGCATATGTCACCTCTTCATGCTGGAAATCAGATGGCTGGAAAATTTGAGCAAGGATCTCTGATAACGGATCATTTGAGAAACTGTCCATCAAAAAACCGCAGATACATTCAATGCACGCTTTGTAGACCGTCAAGGGATATCATACACCAGATCGAATGAAACTTCAGTAAGCAGATACAAGTTGAACGTAGATGGATCATACAAAGAGGAAGAGAAAGGTTATTGGCAAACGTGGAGTCGGCTAAGAAAAACTGAAGAGAACAAATTTAGATGTTGTTGTCCTACTGAAGCCACATTTTCCACTTTTTGCTACAATGAAGTCTAATATCTGTCTTAACAATAATATTGTTCCATTAGTTGATTACCGTTCTCTAGAAATGTGTGAATAACTTCATGTTTGTCTCTAAATTATTCAACTTTGTTTAACTCTGCTGTGAGTATCTCGTAGTTTTGTTCAAATAAAAGCAGGAAGGAGAATTAGGAATGATAACGGATCGTGAAGTTTTACAATTGTTAAAGATTACAGTGTGTGTGTGGAGTATGATACGTGCTCTGCGTGTTCAAACTCCTAAATCATAGATAATTAAATCTTACTCATTCTTCACTTACTTTCCGAAAGTGCAAGTAGTGTGTATAAACTATAGAAATTCCGGTAGGTATTTCCGATAATTAGTTACAAAACTCTAAGAAATCAATCAGAAATACAAATAAGCACAAAGTAAACAGTGATACAACACAATCCACTCATCACCAATTGAGAGTGTTCGACATATAGTTCGCCAGCGCAACAAGGATCGTGATATAGACATGCCATTCTTACACACGCATTGTACCATACAGTCAAATGAGAATCTGATCAGTACCTCTTCTCACAAACACTTAGATAACGAAGCATTTCGAAATGATGAGATTAAGTATTTCACAACTTGGATTTGCTATCATATTTCTCACACTTCTATTGAATGGAGTCAATGGTAGGTTTAAGAGAGTATTGATAATAGTATTGACAGTGTAATATGGTTATACACTGGGAAAGCTATTCTGACTGTCATCACTAACTGATAATGTGGCCACAACAAATTTGCCATAAGGTGTATCAGTTGAATGTAGGATGACTTTTGATATTAGGTGAAAAGCGACAGCTTATAAATAGGTGCATATGTTGTGTAACTTTTAGTTGCTCATTTAACATCATATATGCGGCTGATATAAGTGCCAGAAACTGACATATGATTTTATACGTGAACTTTTTTTGTAAATATGAATTATGATTAGTGCAAATTAAGATGGGTTCAGGATATTCATCATTAACACCAATTTGTTTCTTATATTTGAACTTACCGATCGCAGACGTAAGTGGTGTAGTTAATTTGAACTCAAATCTAGTCGCCAGTGAACATCACTCAAGTGAACGCTGTATACCAAGGAGCTCCATTAGTGATCTCGTCCATTGCGCTAAAAGACAACTCTCAAGTGCATAACAGTTTATAATTCACTTGGTTACTTTCTGTGTAGTTTATTCGATCGACACCGACACTAACTGAATATGTGGTCAGAACAAATCAGGCGTGAGGTGTATCACCTAAATGTAGGATGAGGTATCATATCAAGTGAAAAGCAACAGCTTCAAATAGGCGCACACGTTATGTAAACTTTATTTGCTCACTTAACATCATATGTATGGCTGATATGGCTGACATCAACCGACATTTCATTTAATACGTGAATGTTTCCTTAGAAATATGAGTAAATATTGGTGTAAAGTAAGATGGGTTGTTCTTCACTGTCATTTCATTTTCTTTGTCAAGGGACATCAAAGATCCCTTCTCATTTACGACCTTACTAATTGAAGACACATGTTGTGCAGTTAATTTGAACCTAAATCTGGTAGCCAGTCAATATCAGTAATGGGATCCACTTGTGATCTCTTGCATTCTGCTGAATAACAGCTGACACGTGCATGAGACAGTTTCTCATTCACTTGGTTACTGTCTGTGTTGTTTATTCTATAGATACCACAAATTCCACTAAGTACCGGATTCGGGCTTTATCACCTGATTGACTATTGATTCTTGTGAGGGATTCGATTCAGTTGATCGTTGGTGTTTATTGAAGACGAGTTGTGTTTTTGCAATTAATCTTCACACAGCCAATCCATAAGTCCCCTGAATGATGGTTGGCTGATGAGGTTGAAATAATCAGATGATTACAAAGGCAAACATGCACCTTTACAATTTTCTATGTGGTCAGAGGTACCGAGTAATCACTTTACACATAATTTACTGTATTCTCTTCATGTTTTAGGTCAAATGGGTGGTAAGTGAACGTTTTTCAAGATATCATGCAAATGCAATTTATCTAACACATTGATAGCAGTTGACGAAACACCTGCTAGTTAGTAATGAAGTATATGTATGTATATATATATATATATATATATAGATCTCATGAACACTCACCTATTGTGTAGTAAGAACATGTGAATGTTTCGTATCTAACATAAAGGCTCATTATATCATCCTGCCCAACGCAGATAAGAATTGACTGATGTTAGGGCATAGTACACACAGTTTTGATGTATTTCAGTTGATTAGTTCATCTTTTGTGGTAGTGGAAAATTCGAATTCTGTCTTGATCAGATAGAATACCGTACTACTGGATTCACTACACGTCAGGGTGATGGGATTCAGTATTTCACTATTTGGATTTGCTATCATATTCCTCACAATTCTATTGAATGAAGTCAATAGTACGTTTAAGAGGGTATTGATAAGAGTAGTCACAGCGTAATTTGGATATACTCTGGAAAACAATTGTGGCATTCATCATTCCACAAACAATCTATATCACCAACTGATAATGTAGTCACAAAAAGTCAAGCGTGAGGTGTATTAGCTAAATGTAAGATGAGGTCGAAGTTCGTACCAACACTGAACTATCAGATGAAATGAAACGGAACAGCTTAAAGTAGGCTCACAAGTTCTGTAACTTTTATTTGCTCATTCCGACAATATTTCAAATCATAAATATGGCTCATACAGGCGTCAGTGACTGACACTTGATCTCATGCCTGAATTATTCGTTAAGAATTTGGAAAGAGGAAGAATGAATATTGGTGCAAAGTAAGATGGATCCTGGTTATCCTACATTAACACTATTTGCTTGTCAGAGGACGTTAAATTTACCTTCTCATATATGAACCTGCTAGCTGTAGACACAGGTCGTTGGGTTTATTTGAACGTAGATCTAGTAGCCTGTCAACATCAATCATGAAAACACTATAAACCAAAGATCTCCATTGATGATCTGATACATTCTGCTGGAAAACGGCTGTCAAGTCCATAAAACAGTTTCGTGTTCACTTGGTTACCACAAATTCTACCAGCTACCGTATGTAGGTTTTATTATCTGATTAAATATGGATTCATGAGAGGGAAGTAGGTTAAACTGAACTTTGGTGGTGGCGATTGAAACCCAATTGTGTTTTCAAAATTAACCTTCTCAGACAGCCAGTCCATAAGTTCCCTGAATAATGGATGACTGATGAGGTCAAAATAATCAGCAAATAATCGCAAAGGCGAACATGCACTTTTACGTTTTTTACGTGGTCACAAGTGTCAATTGATCAGTTCACTCATAATTTAATGTGATCCTTCATGCTTAAGGTCAAATGGGTGCTAAGTGAACGTTTTTCAAACTATCATGCAAATTTTATTTATCTAATGCATTGATAGCAGTTCACGAAACACCTGCTGGTTATTAATGAAGTATAAATACACTTCAACAGTACTCACTTATTGTGCAGATCATGTTAATAATTGGCGTTCAGCACCATGGCTCATTATACCATCCTTGATAACGTTTATAATAAGTGGTTGCCTTTAAGACATAGAACACACAGTTTTGATGTATCCTAGTCGATCAGTTCATTTTGACTTAGCTACATGCATGCATGTTTTGGAGAATTCAACTCCTGTCGCAAGCAAAAAGAATATCTTACTAGTTAGATTAATTCACCATTGATTACTGTCAAAACTACCAATTTGGAAGATGTCTTTACGTTACGGCAGTATGGATGCTGAATGATGCTTATTCATTGTTCGGAGTCAGCCGGATAGTTGTCCAGAGTGTAGATTTCAAGCCTACTCCTATTCTTCAGGAATGGGAATACGCAACATGCATGGAAATGATACTCCCTTAAGAGAATCGAGAATGCTGCACCCAGTATTATACCATTAATCAGGAAACAAGTGTTTATATAACAGTAGCCTTAAATTAGGCGTTCCTTTCTCCTAACGAAAACCCCAATTTTGTTATGTCACGGAGAACGATGAAACAAATTGTAGCATGACCAAAGTGGTATGGTATAGATATCAACATCACATTGCTATACCACTACAAACGATTACGTAAAAAGGAATATAACACGTCAAAGGTGGACAGGTTTTTGATAACATCGACTCCGAATACATGAAAAATTGTGCCTGGATAGAAGAGGGAATGAAGCCATGCAAAGCAAGTTACTTGGTCGTATGGACACATTCATACGATTTTGAGAATAAAATTGTCATCCAGTTATTACAACCTCAGGTCATTCTTTACCAAAGTTACTTACTTAGTGTTAGAGGCATCATTATATGCAATGACTTGCGATTAGTTCATCATTTCACTTCATGTTGTGCTACGTATTCAGCACTTCATCCCAGAACTTCTTTATTCTGTGTACAGTTATCTTCGATTTGAAGTAAGCGCAATAACAGTTACCTTTAAAATGTTCTTTTAATAAATGTGGACGAATATTTTAAAATGTTTATGGTTAATATCAAAGAACAATGGGTCATGTATATATTCTTCACATTATAAACGCATTATTATTGGTAACTAGAAAAGATTCCACAATTCTCTTCTTTATTTTACTGGCTGAAAATAAATTTCGACTTCTTATTCGCTCCAGATGTCATCCGTGTCTTTCGAAAATGAATTCAAGGTACTTCAGCTGCGTGATAGGTCTGCTGTATCCACCCATTTGAATAGATTCTTCTGTCGATAATAAAGGATTGCCTGTCATTGGGACTTGTTAACACTACGGATCCTGAAGATGCCTGTCGTAAATAGGATACTCCGAGATTTTGTTTCAAGAATTCAATTGACTACTTATTAATGTCTTGGTGAATGACGAATTATTTTCAAATAGATTGTATACTGTGGGCTAGTTGCTGTAGCTGCGTTGTATATTTCTGTTTGCATTCCATAAAGGTGGCGTTTACTTCTACAGTTATAACTATATGTGGGAAATATGTGGAGGGGTGGCAGCCTTAACCATAATGATTTTCATGAACACGAGTACATTTCTCAGTTTTAAACTTTATGCTGCACTCACTATGAATTCTAAGTTCTATGAAAAGGTTTTACAAATCTATCAATCCCAAATGTGATAGAATTTTATGAAGTTTATAGAACACTGTGGTTTTGCATTTTCGATAGTGGAACCATTTTAAGTATCTCTTATGCTAAGTTTATGAATTACTACCTAAAATGTGTTGACCCTTTCATACAACGCCTTTGTCATAGTTGACTGACTTTACTCCAGAGACACCGAAATAACTGTCGGTATTCGGGACAAACTGGCAGGAAGTTCAAAGCCCAGGCTTAAATTTGGTTAGCGTCCATGAGCAAGATATGTGTAAAAGCTTCGTAAACGTGACACCTTCCTTATGCATCGAAACTGCACTGTTTCAACTGAAAGTCAGCGGTTACTCCTATAACATTCGTGGATAAAAACTTGCTTTTTGTGGAACTGACTTATACGCATAACATGGTTATCAGAAGGTTATCGGTGTAATTGAGTGTTCTTCAAATCAGATATCAACAGGTATCGATATTGTAAGTGGTGTAGTGAAGACGCCTAGAACAAGAAAACAATAATTATCACCATAGCTCCACAATTTCATTTTGTTTATTGCTATTATTTTAAGACCAAAACCCAGATGAAATCTATCTATTGAAATTTCTTTACGAAATTCCACGATAACATGTTCAAAACTGGATATTGAGTGTAAGTTTATCTTCCAATGACAAAGGATGTAGCTGTCTACACTCACGTTTGATGAAGAAAACCCCATGGATCAGGTATCCAGTAAAATATCAAGATCAAATGATACATTTTTATTCACCACTTACTCTTAAATTTAACATGAAGTGAAATTGAATGAGCATTTGAAGTGGGAATGCGGCACTTGTATAAGTGATCATGATGGACATGTGATTAAGCTGCATCAATCGGCTCACTTCTAACTGGAAAGTATAACACACCATTTTTTGTAAATAAGCTTGCAATTTCTGAACAAAAAATATCCGACCCCTAGAATGTTTATTCTTGATATTTGGTGAGTTTATTCTGGTAGTCATACGTTTCACTGCATTTTGATAGAAGTATTGTTTAGTAAACACAGATAAGTAAATACTATGAGAAACCTGTCTTAATTGAAATCATACATTATTCTACTGCCACTGACTGAAATAGTTAATTTGATTCACCACTGCTACACTGAAATGTCTAGCGTGCATTGACATATCCGCCCTCCTAGTAAAATCTGACAAGTTGTCAATTCAAAAACTCATTCTGAAAAATACCAAGTGCTATCTACCCCTAACGTACCGAAATCCTTCAAAATTTTCGGTTTGGAAAGTTGTTGACTGACTGAGTGGTGGATTTCACTAGCCTGATTGTGCGATTTCATGACAAGTATTACGAATAATGTCATACGGTTACTTGGAAGTCAAAAATCTGGAATCAGAATAAGTTAAGGCGTTATCTGCGTATTTCATTATCTATCCTAATTTAACACAATACTTTGAGGAGAATTTATTCGAGATAATTCCTAGTCTTAAGTGTTTGCGAGAGCATGGATGTAAAGCTCTCACTTGAGAATGTTTCTACAATGTCTAATCTAACTTCTCATTTGGCTGTGAGTATGTAACATCTAAGTTGAGGAACATCCTGATAACTGAAAAGTATTGACGAAGTAATAATCTATGGGATTCATATTCATATGAATGTTATTACGTCCGAAAAGCTGTCATTACTAAGGTGAGGTTTGTTAACACATTTAGGTCTTATAATTAAGTAAAGCATAGTTTCAGATTTATATAATCACTGATTTGAGTCTCGTTTTCAGTTATATAAGAATAACTTTGATTGATATGATGTAGGTTTCTGATTTCATTGCTACGCGACACCAATACAGTAACTATAAATTTGAAGTTAAGATGGGTAACTTTAAAGTGAGACCGATTGGTGTTTTCCGAACTTATCAGTGTCAGTTGGATAACAGCCGGCAAAATGGAGGATTTCGAATATTTAAGAATACTTTTTCGTTATTTAATAATTACAAATAAATGGTGGCATAATTTCGATTGAATTTCACTGCGTTCCAAAACTTTTTTGTCCTTTTCAGGAAAACCTTTTGCTACCGACTAGTTGATACATGGGGCTGCTTTTTAGATGCATTACCAACGGAACTTGGAGGAAAAAACTCCACTTGTATAAGTAAAAAGAGTGAGAAAATGAAGTAAACATTTCCATTGTAGGTTTACCGAAGCAGTAGCTGCCATAGCAATGAATTAGCAACGAGCTCACCATGGACCTCGATTGAGAGAATAATTAACGACAAATGAGTGAGTGATGATGGAATTGATATATGAAATAAAATTCTTTCGAAACATAAATACGATTTATTTTGTTGGCTGAAAATAGTACACGTATTTGAAAAACCACTTCAATTTGTAAGCAATATAGCATTTCACCCAATTATTTGAAATCACTGTTTATGCAAATAAGAAGGAAGTATTACCTGGAAGTTGAGCAAATCAGTATGATTAAGGTTTATTTTTCTTTCACAGCTAAAACGAAATCACTTTGTAGACAAACCATATTAAATAATCTTACAGTTTACATGGAGTAAACAATCTGGAAAAAAAACATTTCACGAAATGGTAAGACTATTTTGTAACAATATTTACAAATGCGAATTGTAAAGGAAGGTAAACTTCTTTGTCAGTGATTTCAAGTGTTTTAATGATTTATTCATTGTCTAAGATCGAAATAGTTTTTCATTAGACACTAAAAAATATATTCCCACTGCCAGGGTTAGATAATCTATTCACTTCTCAGCGACATTGCTTTCGTAAAAACGGTTATCTTTATATTTCTCTAGTTTGGTTTGTAAGGATTAGTTATGTTTTTTTACGGGTTGATCACGGATTGATATGGGTTAGAGAACCATTGAAAACCAGGGAGTACTGGACAGCTGCTGTTTCATCCAACTAGTTTGGGAATCGTGGGCAGTACGCATCCACTGGGATTCGAACCCAGGACCTTCCGGTTACAAGGCAAGCTCGTATACCATTCAGCCACTGGGACCCGATTCAATGGCTCGTGAATTCTAACTTCTACTAATTCGTGGGGTCGTGCTAAATCACGAATTAGTAGAAGTTAGAATTCACGAGCCATTGAATCGGGTCCCAGTGGCTGAATGGTATACGAGCTTGCCTTGTAACCGGAAGGTCCCGGGTTCGAATCCCAGTGGGTGCGTACTGCCGATGATTCCCAAACTAGGATGAAACAGCAGCTGTCCAGTACTCCCTGGTTTTCAATGGTTCTCTAACTGATATCAATCCGTGATCAACCCGTAAAAAAACATCTTTTTATTTGTGATATTTGAATAGTGGAGAGAAATACTTTGATCAAATGACACAATATTCTATAAATTCTGACATTTGTTCTCTGATTACGTACATATATTTTACTTAAGACTTTGAAGTGGGATTGTGCGATTATTAGTAAAAGCATGAGGTTTCTGAAATTTCTAAACACAACACAATCAAACGCAAGCTCGTTAAAATGTTACAAAAGAAGACAAGGTCTAGGCAACAGAGCGTTTATTCAGGAAATCAAGAAATATTTATATATTTTCATGTACATTATTATAGATTGTTGTAAGCAAAGGAACACAATCTCCTGATTGGTTGTTTTTTGCTCAACGTTAATCTCTTATCTCTTTGTGGTCGTTTCTTGAAGTTTAGATCATCTATCTGCAATTGAAAGCATTTATTTCCCGATACGAATTTAAAACAAGTAATGAAGATTAATAAAGCAGGATTTAATGAATTCATCCACTTTCGGTAGAATTCGTCAGTTGAATACTAATCCACATACACGGATTTATATACTTTTGAAATTACATTAGGAGATATAAGACTGATATAAGACTGACTGATTTAGATTCACTACCATCTTCTTTGCATACAGAGACCTGGTTTATATACTCGAATTGCACAAGCCTCTGCAACTGCAAGCCTCTTCTTGTTTCTTTGTCTGCTAACAATAGTGAATGACTTGATAGGGTCGATATGATATCCGTAATCCACAAGATGTTTTGTTAACGGTACTTTGCACTCAGCTGTTTTCAACCATTTTGGCAAATGCTCCATCATGCGAGTAAATAATCGTCATTTTGTACAACCTATGTATTTGCTTCCAGAAACACACATAAATTGATGTACGCAGTTTGAAGTCTCCAGGATTGACGACTGGTCTATCTCAGATTGTTGAAGCATTCTCTTAGTGGTGTTAAGGATAACACGTTTCGCAACATAATAAGTTCTGTTGATGGCTTTATCTAGTCTTCGTTTGACGTCGAATTCAACTGAAATTTGATGAATTCATTAAATCCTCCTTTATTAAACCTTATTGCTTGTCTTAAATATCTATCTACTAATTGTATCCGCCCACGCAAAGTCTGTTGTGATTGATTATTGAATCAGTCTTTGTTCTTATTTTTCTCAAGACTAATATTGGGGACGTACGCATTGACGTTAATTGCTATCTACCGATTTCGGCTATCAGCCAGCCCTCACCAAAAAAGTCTTCACAACCACACTGGACAGTGGAGGAGTAATAAAAGATGAAGACGTGGTGAGGTCATCCATGGTAGGTATAACAAGACATTAGGGAATTGACTTGTAGGAGACAAGTAATAAGCAAAAAAGCTTTCGGGATAAGTGTCACTGAATTTTCTCTCAGAATATATGACTTGAATTTTGAAGGCAACATTTTAACGTACGGCTTAGCTGACCTACAAGCTGCATACTTGAATGCGATGTAGATATCAGCATCCTAACTGTAATTGAAGTTAAGCAATCTATCTGTAATCCGAAAATAACAAAAGTAGTAGAACCTGAAGGGAGTAGGTACACAGCTTTTCAATGGCATTCTTGACCCTCTGGGTTAGTTAAGGTACTAGATTATTCTTAGGAAGATATTTACGTTAGACTGTTTAATATGGTTGATTATTCCAGTTTATAAGATAAGATAGAAGTAATTGTGTGCTACGGTTGAGTATCGTGGTCTTCAAATTTCTAGGTTTACTGATTATGCGTAGACTAAGCCGTTGTTTTGAGAAAAAAGCGCAAGTTTCAAGCCAAGATGAGGGTAGAGTGATAATTCCATCACTTTCCTGTCGATTCTGGAGTATGAACCAATTCATTCATGTCCAACAGTTGCTACATATTCTGACAAAGCTGCAATATTCAACTCTGTCTACTGAGAAGAACTGTAGCAAGGATTTTGCGAAAAGGCAGTACCAAAAATGCATATGGCACAAATCAAGGAATCTAACTCAATCCATACAGCCTTGTCAAAGATTAAGTAGAGTCATCATATGAAGTGATGACCGTCCACAACTTCGTTTGATTTCATCTGAGATGTATAAGTGGAATTGACCCCAATCCACTTTAGAGACACAGCGATTGACTTGTTACTCGAGAATAATATTATCGATTTATCCTCTTAGTTAAAGACGGCGATAAAACGCAGATTTATGCACACTTTGAGCTAATACCTTGGGATGGTTGATGTGCATTTCTCTCCAACCAAACAGAAGATAATTGTGCAGTATCGAATCGCATTGAATTCAAACTTAATGATAGGAAGTGAAATGATCGACTGCTTGACCAGTTCAGTTATTTTGAAAGTTTCTGCTTATAAATACCTGGTGTAACCAACTGCTAATCAGTTTTCATGCTGCTTTATAACTTCAACAGTAGCAATAATAAATGCATCTTTCACTGTCTGATGGCTAATGCTTCTCACCTTATATACGGTATGTTGAAGTATTTGTTAGTAGATCAGAAGTTACGCAACATCAAGTGGATATAAATACTGCCAATTTCGTTATGTTTTAATCCTGTGTTTACATTCTCCCGCTGTCATTCTACCTAGTCTAACATATTGACGTTCATAAATTATCCTTAACGGCAAACTGATAATACATACATATATATATATAGTTGGTCACGGATGACTTTTAAACTTTTTGGGTGATGGCAGTTATTTTGATCAGATAAACTGAAGACAATCTATTCAGTTCACTTTTCAGTTTATCAGTCATATATGACAATGACAGCAAAGTGAAACCGATAATGTTGTTAACCTCTGCTTGAAATTTCATCAAGTTTAGATAAGCCGATTGTGTGATGATTTTGCTGTTTGTTAAATATTCAAACTCTTTGGGTATCTTGATTAATAATCGTGTAAACAACGGAAAGTCAAGAAATAACTAAATGTTTGTGACTCTTTTTTTCTATAGATTTGAGCTTTAAGTTAAGCATTATTGAAAAAGATAAATTCTCTTACAATAATTTTGAAACATTCTATATACGGAAGGTACTGTAGAAGGTATATTGTTCATTCAGAACTCCATGAATAATAATAAAAATGATACTAATAGTACCGTTTACGTCGATGGTTATTATTTACTGCATATGTGTGGATAAATTCTCATTAGTCTTCTAAATATTCATGTTCTTTTATCCATGTTCTGAACACAAAAGGGCTTTGTTTAATTTTAAAATAAACGATTCGAAATTCAACAGCTATCAAGAGTAATTCTGTGTTGATTATGATGAGTGCTCCCACTGTCCAAACTATTTCATCTTAGAAATGAAATTTTACTTATGCTTCACTTTTGTTGGACTTATAAGCACATTAAAATTATTAACTGTGTACTTGTTGATTCCCTGAAGGAACAGATTGTGTTATTGCTCAGTGACAGCTTATCAAGTGTGAATTCTTCAGATGCACATTGGTCATAAATAATGATGTTGTGGTCTAGGGCAGTCTGCTAGCCAAAATTGGTAGACGGCAATCTACGTCAGTGCCTACGTCTCAAATCTTGGTCATGAGAAAAACCAAAGAATAACTCATATTAGTTTGTTTATTAGATGTATCACACAGTGAAACAGTACTGTATACTGGATGACGTTTCGAACACAATTTAATATTGTTCATAATCATATCAAAGAATAACTCAACGCAGACGACACATTTGTAATAATCAATAGAAACGAGTTAGATAAAACTCGCAACTTAACAAACAACGTCTTCAACGACATCAAATTCACAAGATAAGAGGAATCTGAGAACTAAATCCCATTTGTGGACGTTTTAGTCAGGCGACCAACCACAGAGAGATTAGAAACTCAAGTTTATAGAAAATGAACTCACACAGACCTAATACTGAATTACAACAGCAACAACCCAATAACACACAAAAGGAATTGCATACAAACACTATTCAAGAGAGCAAGGACTCACTGCAGCACTCCCACCTTAAGGAAAATTGAAGTAAAGTATCTCATGTACGTCTTCCAAAAGAATG